GGCTGCTAAATCGCAAGACCATTCCAGACAGAGACCCGCTTCCCCGTATCCAGGACCTGATGAATACACTTGGAGGATACCACTGGTTCTCCATACTGGACCAAGGGAAAGCATATCACCAGGGTTACATCTCAGAGGGATCCAGACATCTTACAGCATTCATCACCCCCTGGGGCCTGTATGAGTGGGTCTGCATCCCCTTCGGCCTCTCAAACGCCCCGGCCGCATTTCAGAGATGTATGGAGGAGGTGTTGGACTCCCTACGGTATGAATGCTGCATCCCTTACCTGGGTGATATACTCTGCTACGCCAAATCCCTTGAGGGCCATGTGGAGGGGTTGAGGCGGGTCCTTCAACATCACAGCATCAAACTTAGGCCCGCCAAGTGCAAGTTATTCAAGGAGGAAGTACGCTATGTGGGGAGGCTTGTCTCTGTTGAAGTAGTGCGGATCGATACCAAAGACATAGCAGCTGTCCAAGCTTTGAGTAAAACAACTCCAAACACTGTGGGAGATGTCCGAAAGCTACTGGGATTTCTAAGCTGCTATCGAGCCTATGTGCAGGTCTTTGCTAGAATTGCAAAACCACTGTATGACCTCCTACAGGTGAAAGGAAATCACACTGTATCACCCCAGCTCAAAACAAGTAAGGGGAAGGGAGGCCTTCGACCTGCCATATGTGTTACACACAGATGCATCAGCAAAAGGTCTTGGAGCTGTGTTGTACCAACGCCAGGAGGGAAAGTTGAGAGTTATTGCCTATGGGTCAAGGACACACTCTCTTGCAGAGAAAAACTACCACATGCATTCAGGGAAGCTCGAGTTCCTAGCTTTAAAGTGGGCTGTGTGTGAGAAGTTTCGAGACTACCTCTTCTATGCCCCCCACTTTACAGTCTATACGGACAACAACCCCCTAACCTATATAATGAGCACAGCCAAGTTAAATGCTGTTGGTCATAGGTGGGTTGGGGAACTGGTGGACTTCCATTTTGACATCAGGTACAGGCCTGGTAAAGTCAACATTGACGCAGACACCCTCTCCAGACTGCCACTTGACATGACTGAGTATGTTGCTGCATGCACAGAGGAACTTTCAAAGGACACAATCTAGGCAACACGGGAAGGCAGTCAGGCTGCGATGGAAAAGGATGTGGCCTATGTTGCTGTCTTAAACTTGTCACATGAAAGCTCAGGGCCCTACACACTTGGATCCCAGCCAAGCATAAGCCATGAAGAGCTGGGGCGAGCTCAGAGAGAGGACCCAGTGATCAGTGCGGTCATTAAACTAAAAGAAACACACACTCACCTAACGAGTCACATCAGGAAAGGTGCCAGTGGCCCAGTAAGGAGGCTCCTGCATGAGTGGGGAAGGCTTCAGCTGGGAAATGGACTACTGTACAGAAAGACGATGCAGAGACGACAACTGGTCATCCCTGAAAAGTATAGACCCATCGCCTTGAGACACCTCCATAATGAAATGGGCCATGTTGGAACAGAGAGGGTCATTAGAGAGACAGAGACAGAGACAGAGCCAGATTCTATTGGCCATACATGAATAAAGAAATTGAGGCCTATGTGACAAGGAAGTGTCCGTGTATCAAACAGAAGAAGCCGGTGTCCCATGTCAGAGCTCCTATGGGGTCGATTACCACCACAGCACCCCTCGAACTGGTGTCCATTGATTATATGCACCTGGAGCCGAGCGCAGGAGGATTCGAGTACATATTGGTTGTGGTGGACCATTTCACTCGGTTTGCTCAAGCCTATCCCACTCGGAATAAATGAGGAAAGACAGAAGCAGAAAAGCTCTTCAACGACGAGGGAAACAGTATTATGATCGTCATTTGAAAGGAGTGACTCTGTAGCCAGGCGACCGTGTACTAGTCTGTAACCTAGGTGAGAGGGAAGGCTCAGGAAAACTAAGGTCTTATTGGGAAGACACTGTGTACACTGTCAAAGAGTAGATGAACAATGGGCCTGTGTACAAGGTGTGTCCGGAAAGAGGCGATGGCAGAACCCGCACCCTGCACTGAAACCTGCTACACCTAGTTAACAACCTGCCTGTTGACTTACCTCCACCGTCTGTGCCTGGAAATAAAAGAAGCCTACCTCTACACTCACCTGTGCCCTTAGAGACTATGTTACCTGAAAAGAGACAAAAGAGAAACAGACGGTTCAACAATGGACAACCTCGGGAATGGCCTACAAACTTGTCAGACTCAGATGAGAATGAAACACATGAAAACACAAGTTACTGGTTGCGGATACCTGTAAGGACAGAACGTACCCATGAACCTCTGAGGCTCAGCAAAGAGCCTGAGGCAGACCCAGTGCACTCCCACTTAAAACTGAGTGGTCGAGAGAGAACATTGATTGACATTCCTTTACATGACATTCAAGACAAAACTGCTTTTAGCCCAGTGCTGACAGAAGAGGAGGAAGGATTGGAGGACATAGGGTCACTTGAAGAGTGTGGGCGTATATTGCCTCAATCACCCAGTGACCAGCCTGGGTGTGTGCCTGGTCATGTAGCCTCTCAGACAGACTGGGACCCACCGGGTCATCAGGCTAGTTTCCCACAGGTAGCTGATAGCCAGCCAGGTGATCACAGCACTGCAGCCAGAAAATCTACACGTGAGAGAAAACCTGCTCAGATGTTAACATATGAGTCTTTAGGTGAACCCTCCTACCAGCAAAGAGGCACAATAAATACTGTATGGGTAGCACATACACCAGGATGGGAAAGGCAACTACATCACGTTCATCCACACCACATTCCATATCAACCACCTTATCTTGCCATACCACACCAGTTGTCACCTTACACTTCCTTTGTGCCTTATGTCACCCCCACACAGGTGTATTGAAGGGGAAGGGAAATGTGTCGTTAGAGTGTATATGAGTTAATAGAATGTTGAAGGTTTAAAGGTATAATATTCAGTTATGTGTAAAGTGCGGAGCCATTTTCTTTGTTGGGGAGTGTGTGACGCCCACTATATGTGGTCACAGGGTATTTTGTTAATTGTTTGTATGGGATTATTGACATGATTTATATCTACCTGTACCCTAAAATTGTCAGTGAAAGATGTTTTCTTTAAGATAAGGATTGACACATGTTATGTGCACCTCAGACCAGTGGGTGGCACTCTGGGGCTGTGGCCTGGCCAGGGACGGTGGCCGATTGTGAGTAGCTCTGTTTTCCTCTCATAACGCCAGACTACCTGGAAGAGAGCAGCAACATCTCCGGTGTCTTATTTTGTTTTCCTGATTTTCAGGTTAGTAAGGTGCCCAACTTACTTTAGGTTATGTGTCATCAAGCATGTGCACGTTTTAGCAATGGTAAAAGCCGTTATTTGAATGGAGAAGGTTTGTTTACATTATATGAGCCTTGTGTAACGGTGGCGATGCTAAGTTGTTAGCAGCTAGGCTACTAGTAGCTCTGTAAACCCTTGTATTGTTATATCCATTTTGGCTTACCTGGCTCCATCATTGCATTAGGTCATGTTATAATCTATTGTTTGAATGTGTAACCAAGCGGAATTATTTTGGTTCAGTGTATTTATGAAATTGTGTAAGGTTAATGTTTTTATGTTCACTTCCTCTCCAGTGTCTGTAAATAATAACCAGCAGGGTTAGATAAGAAGAGTATTCTCAGAAATTAGGTTACAGCTTAAAGTGTGATATGTCCAGATGAAACTACTGAGGGAAAGTATGGAAAAGTTGTTGTTTATTTGATATATGTGTTTACATGTTGACAACATAAATGATATGTATTTCTGTGAAAACGGGACATTGAATATGATTATACAAGTTATAACAACATATTACAGATGCATTGTTTGAGACATATGGTGAATAATGTTCAATAAATAATGCCAGATGACCTGGAAGAGAGCAGCCACATCTCCGGTGTCTTATTTTGTTTTCCTGATTTTCAGGGTCAAGGCTTTCCTAACTGCTACATTGGTGCTGTCCAGCGGTACCTGTAACACTTGTTTCATTATTTTTTTGAGCAGTGTATATAGGCTACTGGGCAGTTAAAAACATTGTTTACAACGTAATTTATTTTAAGGTCCCTCATAAGTACAAATACATACCCCTAACCCACTGACGTGTAGGACCCCTTAAGTATTTTATTGGTAGTCCATATACACAAACTAGTTAAACTGTAATTTGTGAGCCACAGAGAGGGGTTTTACCAGTGGCCCTTAGGCTTAATAACACAATTACCCTGAGTCTATTCCTCGTCAACTTGGAGAGAACAGTTAAAGCATGATGCACAGCAAATCATTAAAGCTACTGTTATTATTACCAAGAGAAACATTCAAATAAACCAGCCATGTAGCTTAAAATTATGTATATTTTCTCACTGTATATAATGTAATTCATATGTTCTCTCTTTTTTTTTTACGTTTTGAACATAGAGATTATATGACAGAAATGTACTGTTATTACTGAAAGCACTTACTTAGATGTCTTAGCTCACTAATCCCTTTCAATTTAAACCCCTATGTTTCTGTTTATATTGCTTTTCCGAAATGACTGATGAAAAAATTCTTCATTTGTATCTCTAAACATCCCAGGACAACATAGCAAAATGCAGGAAGATGTTACACCTGTGGTTAAGGCCATAAATATGAACAATAACAGTATTAATAATAATAATATTAATAATAATAAAAAGAAGAAGAAGAAGAAGAATATGGATGGATCCACAAGTGCCATAACCTGTTCATATCCCAAATATGTTCCAAATTGTAATTGTGGATTACTAGTCTAGATTTCTAGTAACCATATCATCACAGTGTGTTAATTATTAATGTGAAATAATAATAATAATAATAATAATAATAATAATAACAACAACAATAATAATAATGATAATTACTATTATTATTATTTAAGGCTGCAAGAACTAGGTTACAGCTGGATATTTGGAATACACATGTGGCATAAATAAAAGGTATACACAAGGTTTTTCTTCAAAACTGCCCTTCTTACCTTCCAGTCGCATGCCAACATGAAGACACTTTTGAAATCTGCAGAATGGACACCGTTTTCTTTGAGTGATATCAATTCTGCAGTCCTGCTTTTCTGCACAGATGTACTTCTTGTTGTTTTGGACCGTTCTTTTAAAAAAACCCTGCAAGTGTTGAAGAAGACGAAGGGTCCAGTTGAAGAAGACAGTTCCATTTTCTAGCTGTTTGTAATATACCCATAGCTGTTTGATAAGCATAAAAACTACAGCAGAACTTTTCTACCTAATAGACAGTCCCAGTGCAACAAAAACTAAATCTACCTTGCAGCTTTCACAGGTGAGCAGACCGTAATGGTAACCAGAGACTTTATCTCCACACACTGGACACAGCTCCTCCAAACCCACATCATGTCTGTGCTCCATTCTGAAAAAGGCAACATGAGACTGGTCGCTGTTAGATCCAGGGCCAATGGAGAGTGACTCAAACAATACTGAACTTCGCAGCCATCACGTAGATTATAAAATTAAGAATGTTTAAAATACAAACAACTCGGACCAGTTGCTTTGGAACCTCACTACTTTGATTGAATCTCAGCAAAATCAAATATGCTTGCTGCAAGTCTGTGACACATAAAAATGATGGATGATCTTCTAATAGTCTAGGAAAAGAAATATAACACTGGAGTCTGTGACCCATCAGATTCTGTGACCCAGTACCAGACCTCCTGAAAAAAATGTTGAGTTTTGCAAGTGGTTTAATGTTCAGGCTTAGGGTTTAGGGGCTGGATCATGGATTTTGATGGGTAGCAGAATTTGCTGTAACAAAAGCACTCAGTTCTTGCCCAGATCAGACACAAGACGATCAAAAGGAAAACAACATAAATAGTTATCTAGTAGTACAATCCAGTGATAAATAGAAAAATTTATCGCCATATCATACCCACAGCGTTTCCTGACTGACCCACCTGCTGAGTCAGTGTTTGGCCTTGGTTAAGTACTGTAACTGTTGAGTGTTAAGTAGTAAACTGAAATCAAAGGTGGTGGTAATGCTGAGTGTTCTTCCAGCTGTATGTATGAAGTAGAGTGCAGTGATCAGAACACTAGTCTCATGTCATCATCCTGTGAAAGGAGGGACACTCTCCGTGGTCCTGATCCTGCGGCTGTCTGAGATAGGCTACTAACCTGGCTCCAGCCAATGAGCATGTCTGTTTACTGACTCGCCTGTTTCCTCAATTATACACAGCATTAAGTGGTTTACTGTGTGCAGTGTTGGGCAAGTTATTCTCAAAATGTAATGTATGACATATAAGGGGGGGGCGGCAGTGGCTCAGTCCATAAGGACCTGGGTTGGGAACCGGAGGGTCACTTGTTCAAGTCCTTGTCCGGACCAAATATGGAGCATGGACTGGTAGCTGGAGAGGTGCCAGTTCACCTCCTGGGCACTGCCAAGGTGCCCTTGAGCAAGGCACCAAACCCCCCAACCACTCGGGGCGCCTGTCCATGCCAGCCCCTTCACTCTGACATCTCTCCACTTAGTTTATTTATAGGTCCTATTCGTGCATGTGTGTGTATTTCGGATCTGTGTGTAATTGACAGCGGAGTGAAAAAATTTAATTTCCCCTCTGGGAATTAATAAAGTATATTTAAAAAATATATTAATAAAAAAAAATAATAACTAGTTTTCTTCATTTGAAAGTAATGTTACTTTACAACATTACTCTCTGTGTAGAGTAATAAGTTACTTATTACACTACCAAAATGAGCTCGGAAGAACTAATTCATTTTAAATGGTTGAGTCATGTTGTTTAACAGCCGGTAATCAAAGCACAGAAGCTCCAGTTTATTACAGTTCAATTCAAATTCAGTGCTGCACAGGTCTGACCCATTCATGCATTCACATACAGTGGTTATCACTTTGTATTAAAGTCACCTGCTTATATTAATAACAGTGTGATGATATAGAAACATTAAATAGCCTAGACCTTTTATAATAAATGAATAGCCTTGGACACGGAGGGTCAGGCGGACGATCAAAGTCTGTTAATTAAGATAAGATGAGATAAGATGAGATATACTTTATTGATCCCCCAGGGGGGAAATTCGAGTATCACAGCAGCACAAGACAAAATCAAAGGACAGAGTCTACAGCAGAGCTGTGAATGGATACAGTGATGGTGGGTGGGGCCCCAGATCCACAGACAGAGCTCACAAGGGGGTTTGTTGTCTCAAAGCTATTGAAGAATATGTTTAGCTCTGTTGCAAATTCTGGGCCACCTTTGACTCCAGGTGTGGTTTTCCCACAGCCTGTCATCGTCCTCATCTCATTCCACACCTCTTTTGTATTATTCTGTCCCGTCTTGGCCTCAATCTTCTCCTTATAGCTGTTTTTGGCCTCCCTCAGTCTCCTCTTCAGCTCCTTCTGAACAGCCTTGAGTTCCTCGTGATCCTTGGATACGAACGCCCTCTTCTTCCTGTTAAGAAGGTCTTTAATGTCTTTACTGATCCGTGGCTTGTTGTTTGAAAAGCAGCAAATCTTTTTTGTTGGGACAATGTTGTCCTCACAGAATGTTATGTAGTCTGTAATGCAACGAGAGAGACCCTCCATGTCATCGCCGAAGTCTTCTATAAAAAGTCCCCAGTCTGTGACATTAAAACACTCCTGCAGTGCCTCCTCTATGTCATCAGACCAGACCTTTACAGTTCTTGTGCTAGCCGCCTGCTGTTCCACCATCGGCCTGTAGGTGGTGTCAAGGAGTATCAGGTTGTGGTCTGAGTCTCCAAGTGGAGGAAGAGAAGAAGAATTATATCCTTTCTTCACGTTGACATACAAAAGATCCAGGATTTTATTCCCTCTTGTTGCACAGTCCACATATTGTGTGAAGTTGGTCAGGACAGGAGAGAGAGAGAAAGAGACATGAGTGAGTGGATGATGTCACTCGCACTGGCTTCAACAGCTGATGGGGGAATGTCAACAACCACCATGATGGCGTGTGAAAACTCCTGCGGTAGATAGTACGGCTGTAGTCCCACTGCCAGGAGTTCTACATCAGGAGTACACACACAGTCCTTTACGGTTACATGTCCGGGGTTACACCACTTAGCGTTAACAAAGATAGCAAGCCCCCCTCCTCTCTTCTTGCCGCTCTGCTTCCCCCTGTCCACGCGGATCAGCGTGAAGCCAGGCAGATCGATAACACTGTCTGGTATGTTCCCATGTAGCCGTGTCTCCTTGAGGCAGAGCATGCTGCACTCCCCGTACACAAGCTGGTTGTTTACAAGGGCTGCCAGTTTGTCCGTTTTGTTGCCGAGTGACCTCACATTCCCCATGATGATCGATGGCAAGAAGGGCTTAAATTTTGTCTCTCTAAATCCTCTCTCTGACCTTAGCGCCGGCTTTCTTCCCATGGCGGTTGCCCCTCCATATCTCCTCAGGAATCCGCACAGCGGGGATGCTGGCTCCATGCTTGAGATGGAGTCGTTCCTCGCGAGTGTATATTAACATAGTTAACAGTAAAGAAAAACTACACGAAGAAAAAAACAAATTACTCCCCAGTAATACTACAACTAGAACGCTGCAGCAATACAATATAAATGAGCAAAAAAAAAAAAACTATAAAAACACAAAGTTAAAGATACGAAAAAGAAGCAAAAAGAGTGCAAGTAGTCAGAGCTGCTGCAACAGGCTACCGACCCCCAGCGCCATCTTGGAATCAATTATGAGATGGGGATAAATATTTCTGGGCTTATGATATGAAACACAATAAGCAAATTTTAGTGTTAGCACAACAAACAGAATAGTGTGCGAGTAAGTCACTATGACAAATGCAATTAATACACTGGAGCTGGAAGACCCACCTGGCAGTTCCCGGTGTGCTGGTCAGCTACATAAGCACTGGAAAGAGAGTTATGCATAATAATAATAATAATAATAATAGTAATACAAATAATAATAATACATTTTATTTATAGAGCGCTTTTCAAAAACTCAAAGACACTTTACAGGAATAAAAAAGTGCAGGGAAATTCAATCAGAAGTGCAAAACAGCAGACAAAAGAGGAAAAAAATTACAGACAGGAGTGCATTAGTTATAGACAAGGTTGTAGACAAATAAGGGTGCTGACAATACAGAGTTAGGTGGGTATAAGGGAAGAGCAAGAAGGAAGTAGGATGGATTAAATTTGTAAGTTAAATGCAGAATGGAACAGGTATGTTTTGAGTTGAGTTTTGAAGGAGGTTAGGTCTGTGCAGCTGCATTGTGGGAGGGAGTTCCAGAGGGTGGGGGCAGCAACAGAGAAAGCTCTGTCCCTCCAGGTGCGGCACTTGGTCCTAGGTACGGTGAGGAGGTTGGCGTCAGAGGAGTGGAAGGTGCAGGAAGGGGTGTAGGGGTGGAGAAGGTCTTTAAGGTAGGAGGGGGCCTGGTTGTGAAGTGCTTTGTGGGTGAATAGGAGGATTTTGAATTGAATATGGTAAGGAACAGGGAGCCAGTGTAGGTTCTGTAGGACAGGGGTTACGTGGTCATGGGAGCGGGTGTGGGTGAGGAGGCGGACAACAGAGTTCTGGAAATACTGAAGTTTATTTAGGAGATTGGAGGTTGTGCTGTAGAGGATACTGTTGCAGTAGTCGATTTGAGATGTAATAAAAGCATGAATGAGGGTTTCAGCTGCAGGGAAGGAGAGAGAGGGGCGGAGGCGTGCAATGCTTTTGAGAATGCTGATTGCTGATTTGGTGACTTGCTTGATGTGTTGGTTGAAGGAGAGATTGCTGTCAAAGATGACTCCAAGGTTGCGGTAGTGGAGGGAGGGGGAGAGGGTGGAGTTGTCAATAGAGAGATGGAAGTCTTTGGCTGCCAGGCTGAGGGAATTTTGACCAATTATGAGTAAGTCTGATTTGTCGTAGTTGAGTTTGAGGAGATTTGTTTGCATCCAGTGTCTGATATCATAAGAACAGGACTGTATCCCAGTGTTGTTCTGCAGTTGCAGGGGATGTGAATGGAAATACATCCAACATATACTAATGTCACCCAGTTGTGCCGATCACTGGGATGAGGAAAAAAAAAAAAACAGAGGCCAGCACCTTATCCCCAATGCTTTCAGGCAGCCTTAGGACGCAAAAGCAGAATGGGATACTTTGTAGACGTTGCGGGTTTATTAATGGAAACATACTGAACATGATAACTCACAATACGGCATGACCCAGATGTGCCAATCACCAGCACTCTTCTATAATGTATTTTGTAACGACACAACAAAATACAATAACCTTTGGGGGATGTTTTTTCAGATGGTAACATCTTATGTGACATTGTAAATGTAATATTATCACCCCAAGTCCTGTTGGTAATGCTTTACATTACTTAGTTACTGCTAAAATGTAATATATTACTGTAACTTGTTACTTCTGTAATGCGATCCCCCCAACACTGACTGTGTGACAGTAGAATGTGATGTCATTTTCCAGCCCAGCTGTTTGTTGTCTCTGTCCTGTGACTGCTAATCGCTTGTCGTGTTTTAGATAATTAAACTGAATACATTGTTGTCCTGCCTGCCAGGTGACTAGATCAGTTTTGTTAATTTTTTGGGGGTAATTAAAGTTTTTTTTTATAGAACTAGTTAAAATGTGTAATGATTTCAAATACACATCAGTATATTTTGCACAAATAAGTTCCTTCATATACGGTGTTGATCATTAACTGCAAAGAGTAAAAAATAAATGATTTTTTTTTAGCTTACCAAGGACCTAAAGGAAGGGCATCTCTGCCTCTGCTGCACAGATTTTGACATTTGTTTTTAGTCTGTATATTTTGAGTCCCTTGCTGTATAGGAAACAAATAGGCCTACTACATTCCTGGAGTATCCATTTAACAACAGTATAAATTAATCAGTACTAAGGTTAGTATCTTTCTGACGTATTATTCTTTGTATAGCGATTCATCTTCTGGATCTGTTGATCTGTTCTGTACGACATCTATTGCACGTCTGTCCGTCCTGGAAGAGGGATCCCTCCTCAGTTGCTCAACCTGAGATTTCTACCAATTTTTTTT